CCACAGGTTTCCCACACAAACTGTAATTCATGAAGGCCGATGCACCTCTCCTCCTTGTAGCTGGGTAACCATTTATGTTTGAGGTGAAAATGTTAATATGGAAATTTTCTGAGCTCGGAGAGAGGATGAGCACTACCATTCTAATTTATGACCTTTCATCTAAGGCCAAATGTAAAGGTAACTTCAACTGTTTCATATCCCAGGGCCGGCGCATAGCAGATGTATGAAATTTGGAGTGTTAGACATAAACTTTTATTACCGAATTATAAATAATTTCCCCCACTTATATTGTTCACCTTTCAAGTTCATCTTGATTAAAATACAAGGGCAGCTTTTCAGCGATGTCACTGCATTCTGCAGCTAGGAGAGGCTTTCTGGAGAGTAACACATCACAGCCTTCAGGGAACCTTGCTCATGGGGTTCAGACCCAGAGCCCAGCGACTGAAATCCATGTTACATCAAAATGATAGTAATAAAGTCCAAACACTTGTATGAACTTATCAAATAGATCAGAAACCAAGTACTCACAATGCAGAATGGAAACTCTTTTTAGGTAAAAACAAAAGACATATTGGCTTTTGTGATGGTTTAAATATAAAACATTTCTCATGAGCTTAAAGATTTAAGTACTTGGCCCTCAGTTGGGGGCGCTGTTTGGAGGAGAATAAGGAGCTTTTAGGAGGTGCAGCCTTGTTGGAAGAAATACCTTACTGTGGCCAGTAGGAGTTGAGGTGGAGGAGGTCAGAAGTTCTATAGCCTGGTCCCAGCTTCTTGATATTTCTGTCTGTCTGCCTGCCTGTCTGTCTGCCTGCCTCACTGTCTCTTTATCTCTCTGTGACTGTGACTGTGTCTGTGTGTCTATATATTTGGGTGTCTGGGAGTCTGAGGGTCCCTCCCTTCTGCCCCCGCCCTCTACCCCTCCCCCATGCCCCACCCCCTCAGTTTCATGCATATGGATGAAGATGTGATCTCTAACCTACTGCCATGCCTTCCAAGCCGCTACTGACTGACTCTCTGGAATTGTAAACTCTTTCTTCTATAAGTCGCTGTGGGTCATGTTTTATCACAGCACTAAAAAGTTACTAATGCCCCTTTCCTTAGTCATTTGCCTATCAACCAGAAGATATTCAACTCTGGAGTCAAATCAAGAATGTCTTCTTATTTGTTTTAACAAATAGTTTTCACATCCCTTGAAAATAGCAGAAGAGTGGGCCTAGAGTAGCTGGCTCAGATGCTGCTATTATCCAGACTAAGGTCAAGGAAAGGTCTGGGTCCCTGCCAGCGTGTCATACTGGCTAATGCAGGGTTCACACAAGATCAGTCAAAGTTCTTGGAAGCGTATGCTGATGTTCAATATTCAGATACACTTTGGAAAATGTTGGCCAATCCAATTTAATGCCTGTTTTTATCATCCAGTCAGTCATACACTCACAGGGCTTCATGAGATAAGCCAGGCATGAGACCTTCTCTTCTAAAAACATGACAGTGAAGAACATAGCTTTTCAAAGGCTACAAAGAATTGCTTTGAGACTGAGGAGATGGTTCAGTAAGTAAAGTGCTTGCTGGGCAAACGTAGGACCTGAGTTTTATCTTCAGGACCCATGTAAAAAGCTAGGCATGATGGGGTATATTGTAATCCCAGTTCTGGAGAGGCAGTGGCAGATAGATCCATAGGCTTGTTGGTAAGCCATCTTAACCGAGTAAGCAAGCCCCGGATCACAGTGAGAGACCCTGTCTCAAAATAGAGAGATGGCTCAGCGGTTAAGAGCACTGACTGCTCTTCCAGAGGCCCTGAATTCAATTCCCAGCAACCACATGGTGGCTCTGTAAGGAGATCTGATGCCATTTCTGGTGTGCCTAAACAGCTCCACAACGTACTCACATACACAGAATAAACAAATCTTAAAGTGTGTGTGTGTGTGTGTGCGTGTGTGTCTCCCAAGAAATGACCCTCAACATTGGCCTCTGGCACATGTGCACCTATAACTCGACAACAATTCAAAAATAGACCAAGACCCAAGCAGATGCGTGAGTAGAGAGGACATACAGATGGAACCATATGCTCCACATCTCAGGTCAGTAGGAAACTATAAACTAGGACGACAATAAGATTCTATACTGTGCTTCTCAGAGTGGGCCAAAGCTAAAATACTGGAGATGTGAAGTGGTAGTAAGGATGAGAAGCAGAAGAAGCCACAGCTCCACGCTTGGGGAGACCGTGTGAAAAGGAGAGACACACTCAAGGCAGCGCAGCAGTCCTTTCAGAAATAAACTCTTACTGTATGACCCAGCACCACTTCCTTGACGTTTGCCCAAATGGCTTAAAACTTAATTACAGGGCTTGTGGCTCTTCCAGAAGACCAAAAGTCTGCTCCTAGCACTCTCAATCACCTACACCTCCAGCTTGAGGGGACCCATCACTGTCTTCTAGCATAGGCACCCACATGCAGGTGCACATGCATGACCTATAGAGACACATGATTTTAAAAATTAAAATAAATCCAGGGGCTGAAGAAGTAGTTCAGCGTTAAGAGCACTTGTTGCTCATGCAGAGTTCTGAACTCAGTTCCTAGCACCTACATGGTTGCTCACAGTCATCAGTAATTACAGTTGCAGGGGATCTGACACCCTCTTCTGGCATGCACAGGCGCCAGACACACAGCTAGTACATATACATACATGCAGGGAAAGCCATTATTAACATAAAGTAAATACATTTTCTTAAAAATTAAAAATAAAAAAGTTTAAAAATTCAAAACTTAATTCCACACAAACATCTACCTAGGGATGTTTATAACACCTTTATCAGTGATTACCAAGTAGACAGGACAATGTCAAAGGACAAAGTCTTAGTGACTGAATGAAAGCGACTGAGCAGGGTCCACGTGGACTATTACTACTCAACACTTAAAGGACATGTGTTATGAAGGCGTGGGGGATCCAAGCCAATCTGAAAAGGCTGTGTACAGGGTGACACGTCTGTGACACTCTGAAGAACAGAGTCACCGTGGAAGGAAAGTAACATGTGACTGGCATGGCTGAGGGGAAGGCAGAGACAAAACGGCCGAAGCCCAGGGGGTGCTCCCTATAACGTTATAAACGAGTGTCTCTATAATGTTGTAAATGTGGACACATGTATTATGCATCTGTCAAAGTCCATGCAGTGTATATCAGAGGATACATCCTAATGTCAACCATAACCTCTGTATGATAACACAGGCATATTAATTCTAGCACTGACCTAAGTAAACTGAGCTAAGCTTTTCTGAATTATTTTTATGATGTCAAAAAGTCTCCCTAATAAATTAGCGTTATGTGCAGGATTTTGAAGACTGGCTTTTGAACAGGAATCTGGAAGAAGTCTTGCACATGTTTTTGTTTGTTTGTTTGTTTGTTTGTTTTATAAATACAGTAAAAGATGCTAGCAAGTGCACGCACTGAATGTGGAAAGCTGTTTTGGTTAAGGCCAGTTCTAAGCCGCTGAGGGGTTTCTTGGAATAACCAGATTTATAAGTTTGTTGGCCCAACCATTTGTTGCCTTGGGACTTTAGACCCATGCACTCAAAGACAGTAGCAACTATTCTGCAGATGAAACAGACTCCCAAAACTATTCTCACTGCCAGCTCTCCAGCCAGACTCTGTGGCTGCATTACAGCTCTGTGGTAAAGTGAAAGCAGCTATGTATATATCCATCTCTACCTACCTATCTCACTCTACATATAATACACAGAATTAGAGAAATGTAGTATGTAGTACAATTTGATTTTTTTTAAAACAAGGTCTTAAATAGCCCAGGCTGGTTTCAAACTCCTTTTGCAGCTGAGGATAATCTTGAACTTCTGATCTCCCTGTGCTCATGCCTGGGTGCTTGGATTACAGCTGTGCACCACTATGCCTACCCCTGTGGTGCCAGAGATGTTCGTGTATGCTAGACATGCTATCAACTGAGCTAAATCCTCAGCCCCAATCTTGACTTATAAAGCGGTTTACTTGCCAGGGCATAGCATGTTCCTTCTTTGATTTAAATGTGACTTTACCCGTGTTGCTAATTTTATATTTATATTTCAAGAGCCTAAAATGCCATTATATCAATGTCTGTAATTGTTTGGTCTTGACGTCAGCTAGAATTTTGCAGATGGACAGAAGGATGTTTCTGTTTTTTACCAAATCTCATCCAGTTGTTCTCTGTCTAGGATATCAATCAAAGGCACTAAGAAAAGGAGGAACGCATTTGATGCCTCAGAAAACAATTCTGCATCTTAGATCCTGTAACACCTAACGGGATGTTTTAGCTGTCGTTTGAAGGTATTATAACTTTGTTGATGGTTAAACATCAGAAACAGAATTAAAATGTAAAATATAAGCTAAAATATAAAGAGATCATGGGTGTAGAAGAAATCAAGTCTTTCTCTAATCTTTTCCTTCCATAAATAAAAAGCATGCGCTAAGAATTCATCCAGTATCCCAAACCAAGTTCCCATACAGCACTGAATGGTATCTGCATGCAATTTCCAATCAAATTAATTTGCAATGTCTTCTGATAATTGATGCCATTATTTTTTTTGTTTCAACATTCTCATGGAAATGATCTCTTCATACATTTAATTTATATGCAAAAGTCGGTTTGAGGCTTTTAACTTTTATTTGCTTTAAATTATTTAAGGCTATTTCTGGGTATTCAACAGCCATTGTTTTAACTGTAAGTTTCTATTTCCTATGATTTTAAGGTTCTTTACTGTAAAAACAAAAACAAAAAAACTCAAAAGGTCACTTCTAATTTTTCGTTGGTTGCTTTGCTTTCGTACTCGATATTCTGGCATAAGAGAGAACATCCGAATATCGGATCTTTACTTCAAACCTTAGTTGCTGAACGTGCTACTAAAGATGCCCGTTTTCGGAAGCCAGCGCGCTAGTGCGTTCTGATCATTTTTGATCCCCGCGAGCTGCCATAGGCAAGGAGGGCGCTGATTGGGTGAGACGGGAAAGCGCGCTGCCGGGGGCGGTTTCGGTTTTCGGCGCGCGCGTCCACGGAAGCCCGGCCTGTGAGGGTTCCGGATCTGACTGCCAGGTGAGCCCGCGGACCGGGAGGGGCGAGTGGGCGCGGGTGGGCGCTCCGGGTGAGAGCGGCCGGCCTAGGCCGCGGATGGCCCGGGCTGGCGTGGAGCGGCTCGAGCCGTGGCCGGGCCTGCGTCCCAGGAGACGCTCGCTGGTCCAGGCCACGCGGCCTCGCGGTGCCGGGCGCGCTCCCGTCGTGCGCGCGTCTCGCGCCGGTTGGGGTGAGCGTCCAGGGTTATAGTGGCGCGAGACTTCGGCGCCCTCCTCCACCCGCGAGCCCTCCGCGACTGAAAGTCGTAAATACGGACGAGCAGAGGAAATGGTCCTTGCTGACCGCTTCGGCTCACCGTCTCCCTTTCTCTTGTGTGGGCCTGTGTCTGTTTCAGCTAAGACCACCAGTTTTTTTCAGCCAGTTACCAGTATTTAATTTTATACTTAGATTAAAATGAGACGAGTTTGATTTTAAAGTTCATTGATCTTGTTTGCGCCCCGTTTTATTGTGTGGATCTCATAAATTACTCAGCTGTTTCCCTGACTGACCTTTGGGTGTGAGTTAAAGTGTTAGTAATGTTTCTGGTTTCGTGCATGACGTTGGCTCTTCAAAACCGTGAAAGTGCCTACTGTGTTTCTAAAGTAGCAAAGCACAGCCTCTCTTTGGAATTACTATTGGGAGTTTGAAGTTGCAGGATGTGGCTCAATCTGCGTGCGCGTGTGTGTTACTGTACACGTTAATCAAATGCTGGAACAGGCTCAATCTGTGTGTGTGTGTGTGTGTGTGTGTTAGTGTTAGTGTTAGTTAGTGTGTGTTACTGCACACGTTAATCAAATGCTGGAACAGGAAGAGACAGCCAGTAACCATCTAGCCTAACTCCCTTATTTTGCAGATGAGCCTGGGGCCATGGCAGGTGAAATGGTGATCAGTTACCCAAGCTGCACAGCTATTTAAGTAGCAGAGGAGATTAGAACTCAGGTGTCCTGCCTCCCAAGTGAGTACCCTTAACTACGGCATCAGCTCTTCTCTCACTGAAGGGTGGCCTACTAGATAATAGAATTTCTTTAAAGAAAGTTTTTTTTTTTTTTTAACTCCTTGGCTTGTTTTCTCCTTTTGGATTGAAGGACTGGAAACTAGAAAAGTCATGTTTTTGTGTCCAGCACTAGAAATTTAGTTTTTTGGAATGTCAACCCCTTCAAGATTTTGCTGTTTGCCTCCAGCTTCCCCATGCTGGCATAAAATACTTCTGATAAGTACTGCAGTTATCCCTTCCAGTATGAAAAAGTTGAGGTTTCATCTGTTTGCATATAACCTGTGCAGTTGTCCTGTGTTCTTCACATCCTCTTTACATTACTCACAACGTTCCATTTAATCCAAATGGTTGCAGTAGAATATTGCTTAGGGAGTGATGGGAAGGTCAAAGTCTGTGTCTCTGTAGCAGAGAGACCCACTGGACATGTAATTTCAACTTCATTTTATCAGGTGAGCTGATTTTATCAGCTGAATCCATAAATAAAAACCCACAGATATGGAGAGGTAACTGGTTTATAGATGTATCATCTGGTTCTCATGCTAGTCTTGAGTTTTCTAAACTCCTGTGCTGCTTAAGCCAAAAAACAGTGTAAGAAAGAGAGAACCAGGTAGTGGTTAGGCTCTTTGGCAGTGTTTCTGTCAGCTGACATGTTGAACCACACACTCCTTTGTTGTAGAATACTGTCTTCTACACCAGCAGTTCCTGGGGGTGTCTAACACCCCTCAGGAATTGCACGTGCATATCAGATATTTACATTACAAATCATGACAGTAGTAAAATTATAGCTATGAAGTAGCAATGAGAATAGCTTTATGGTTGGAGTCACCACATCATGAGGAGCTGTAATAAAGGGCCGCACGTTAGGAAGGTTGAGAACCACTGCTCTTCATGGTAGAACTAGATCCTAGTTACCACTCTACTGTCCTGACAAGACAGAGTATCTGTAGACATTTTCAAATGTCCCTAGAGTGGGGCACAAAACTCACCTCTGGCTAAGAACAGCTTGCTTTTAGGAGTTAACCTGATTATCAGGGCACTTACGGCCAAACCTGGAAACCTGAGTTTAATTCCTGGACTCACTGACTCCGACCTCTGACATCATGTGCGTGCTGTAGCCGGTGTTTTTGCCCCTGTTCCACTACATAAAACAAACAGAAAAATACAGTAAAAAACAAAAACTTTCTGAGTAAGCTTCAGCAATCTACGATTGAATGGGCATCTTCCTAGGCTTGGCTAAACACCAAGTGCTTCTCTTTTCCTTTTTTGTATTTTTTAATGGTTGTTAATAAAGGAATTGCAGAGTCGTAGCTGTTTAAGTTGTACATGATGCTCTGGTAGCTAGGCCTGTCGTTTGTAGACGGGTGAGGAAGGGATTAGACTTTTGTTTGACACCACCTTTGAAGGCCTCTTCCACACAGTCTGTCTGGGCGGCAGGACTACTAGAGAAGTAAGATTGTTCTTGTCCCCTTAAAGTTTAAACTCTCTGTAGGAGACTGGATCTAACATGGCCAATCTATCACTGGGTGAGGACAGTTTGACACACATGCCGCACCTTTCTCCTCCCCTTCTTTACCTCAGTGTTTATGAAAAAGGTTGCTGTAGAGCAGATGTTCTCGTACTAGACCTCTTGGTGGCTTCCAACAGGAAGTAGGGTACTATGACCGTCCACTTATGAACATAGGTCACTTAGGCCTGCATAGGAAGCGGGAGGGGGTACCACTGCATTTGTAGACGTGAATGTATCTAATTTTAAAGGAAGAACTTTTACCAAGGTGACCCTGGCAGAAGGAAGTCCTTTTCTTGTGTCTGTGGTTCAGGAGTCTTATCTCTTGCTTCAGAAACTGTCAGAACTATTCCTTCTGCCTTATCCAATTTAAAAGATGAAAACTTAAAATTACTTGAGCCAAGTGATGGAAAAAATTGCAGTGTCAAGACCAATTTACTTGTACAAAATGGATTTATGGGCAAGTCATTAAGTAACAGGGTGCACTAATGAAGACTAATGCAAAGGTCTGGTTTCAGGATGAATACATTGAGTTTGAGGCAACCATACTTGTTCCATATAACTTCAAAAGCATCCTTTTCAAACTGTCTAGCAGAAAGAACAAATGAGGGGTTTGCTTTTAGCTCATCCTTTCATGTGGCCTGAAGTCTTCTGAGAAAAGGGCCTATCTTTGTATAAAGTATAGATGGTGGATGCATGGGGAAACAGGAGTTCAGAGCTATTGCCCTGTGCTCTGCCACCTAAAAGAGGAAGCAGAACCAAGCAGATTGCTGCTTAGGATTTTCCTGTGCCCTCCTACCATGGTATCCAGCTAGCCAGCTCATAAAGGCCTAGGATCATGCACACAGATTGTCAGGTCCTGGCCCAGACCCTCTGACTGGAATGGTCCTCATGATTGACCCTGGGGAAGCTAACCCAGAGATCATGCTCTCTCACCTGAGAACAAAGGTGGCCCTGCACTCCTGTAGTTGTCTGTCTCCTTCTGTGGGATAGATTGTACTTTCAAACCTGGAGACCCAGTGCCTTTGCTAAGGTGTCTCCGTGCAGCTGATGGCCTATGTCAGACTGACTCACAGGTTCAGAAATCCTCCTCTGAGGTGCCATGTCTGGGCTCAGTCTCCTCTTGGTGGACCTCTGTATCTAATTCTACCCAAGCGCATACAGCCTCTGTGAACTATGCCTCTACTGCGATTGCTTATCCCTCTGGAGAGTAAGCTTCAAGAACCCAAACCACATCTTCCCTGCTGTGTCCGTCCCTAGCCTGCACCTGAGGCTTAGTGAGCACTCCATGAAGTGTGAATTGCCCTAGGAAGAGGCTGATGCTAACGGAAATACAGACTTTACAGGCCTAACAGAGATGTTTTTCTTTTTGCTTCTAAAAAGGCACAGAAAGTTAGCAGTTTTAAAGCAGTGAGTACTGTCAAGCCAGATTTATATTTTTTTCCACCAGTTTTTTCATCCTAAAGTATAAATGGTATAGGTGAAATTAATAACCTCTATGTTTGGAGGACAAAGGATGTTGCATTCCCTGGAACCGAAGTTACAAGCAGTTGTGTGTTACCTAATATAAATTCTGGGAATCAAACCCGGGTCCTCTGTAAGAGAAGTACATATTATTTACCACTGAGCAATCTCTCTGATTCAACTCAGACTTTTTTTTTATTGGATATTTTATTTATTTACAATACAGAATTGCAGACATTTTAGTGTAGAGAAATATACAGTTAAATCCACGATTAATTCACATGTAGTCAGTATGTGTGTACATAAGATATGATGGATAGTTTAAAATACCAGTATGTTTTCATTCATCTTTTAAGTATGTGAACAACACTGTAAATAAAATTTGCATCTACTTACATTGATTTTTCTCTGTGGAATAGGAACAGGGACTTACCATTCAATAAGTGGTTTCCTTTTTTTCCCAGTAAATATGCAGTATTAAGCTGAAAAAAATTCCTGCATTTACCATGAATTTTGATTCCAAGAACTTGGATTTTAGTTAGAATGTGAACGTGTGTGCCTGGGGTGGGGGGGGGAACGTGTACACATTCCATTTGGAGGCCAGGGGTTGACTTTAATGGGCTTCACAATCTTTCAGTGAGCCTGGAGCTCACTGTTTTGGCTAGGTGGCGAGGCTGGTTAGCAAGTCCCCTGGAGCCTCCTGTCTGTGCCCCTTGTGCCAGTTACAGGCGTGTCTCAATGCACCTACCTTCTAGTGGTCCTGTGGATCCAAACTCAGGTTCTCATGCATGAAGAGCAAGCCTTTTACCCACTGAGTCAGCTTTCCACTCTAGGTTTTGTTTTGGGGTTTGATTTTTAATGCAAAATAGATGCTTTTCATATTTCAGATTGTACATGAAGGAACTGGAGTTGTGGGATTATTATGCCTCTGGTTGGAAGCAACCCCAAGACTCAAGAGAGGAGTCTGGGCCTTCAAAGTTAATAGTGTCTCTAGCAGTGTTTAGCTATAGAACAGCATATGTGCACAGTACAAGTGTGTGGCTCGGAGATGAACGGGAAGATTTATTTTTACTAAACTCATGAAAAAGTACTGAGTCTGTTATAGTATTTACCATTTTCTATTTAAACTCAAAACAACATATATAAAATTGTTGTGTGGCCAGAGTCTTGGATAACAGCAGTTGTAATTTTAGCTATTAGTTAAGATGTGCAGTTAAGAAATGAACTGGCAGCTTAGTGGAAACATTGAAGTTTGCTGAGCAAAATAATCAGTTGATGAATTTCTTATTTTAACCTTTGAGACTTGGAGGGTAGCAGCTGTGGATGGTCCAGTATAACCTGAGTACTTGGCTTCTTGGGTGAAGAGAATTGTTTCCCTTAGATTATTGTCCCTTTGATTTAGTCATGCCTCTTAACACAGTGTTTAACCTCTGGATTCTAAGTTCCCTAAGGTGAAACTCTAGCATATATCTTTAAATTGCCTTGTACAAGTATATACGTTTACACTTCTGTTGAGCTGATGAAAACTCTGCTACGTGGCATTACAGCTTCACTAAGTGGCTAATCCTGCAAGCATGTACCAGGAAAGCATCGTCACAGTGTTGAGTGGGTTGGATGGATATACTTGGAGTGAAATCAGCAATACTATTATAGAAGAATGTGTAGTTTTATTGAAAACAAAAATATAGAATTAGGTGAGGGATAAGTCTTTAAAATAATATATTTACACCAACTTTTAAGTCTATGATACATGACATTTACATAAGAGTTATCACTGAACTTCACTGAAACAAAAACCAGTTTCTAGTCTCTCTAAGTTTTGCTTAAGTGACTAGTATTTATTTCTCTTTATTTATTGAAATATTTTTGAGAAGAAGCTATTGTACAACAAGATAAAGTTTGAAAGATGACGGCCAACTTTGATATGCCTGGTCAGTAAATTTGGGTCTGCAGTGCTGTTCTGTGTTTCAGACTCTTAGACATGAATTCTCAAGACTTCCCCTTGTTACTTAGTACTCCTGCCCTAACTGTAACTGAACAATTCAAAGTCTAACCTAACTATCTGGCTTTGAGTGGGTGTTTAGCAATCTATAAAATGAGGATAAAAAAACGGTCCCTCCTAGGGCTAGGGAGGCGGCTGTCAGCAAAGGGTTTGCTGAACAACCATAAGGACCTCAGATCCCTTGCACCCTTGGAAAAGCCTGCTGTGACAGCATGCCTGTCTTAATTAGGGTTTCATCACTCTGAAGGGACACTGTGACCAAGGCGACTCTTAGAAAACATTTAATTGGAACTGGCTTACAGTTTTGGAGGTTCAGTTCATTATCATCCTGGCTGGAAGCATGGCAGCAACAAGGCAGATACGGTGCTGGAGGAGAAGAGAGTTCTTCATCTTGATCTCCAGATAGCCAGGAGAAGACTGGATGTTTCACACTGGGCAGAGCTTAAGCATTTAAGACCTCAAAGCCCTCCCCCACAGTGACACACTTCCTCTAATAAGGCCACACCTCCTAATAATGCCACTCCCTATGGCCAAGCATTCACACATGTGAGTCTATTCAAACCATTATAGAGCCCCTATAATTCTAGCACTGGAGATCAGAGACAGATGAAGGCTGGAGTGGCTCCTTGGCCAGCCAGTCTAGCCAAACCAGTAAGCTTTAGGTTCAATGAGAAACCCTGTCTCAAAACAATTGGGTGGACACAGAGACTGAGGAAGGTTCCACATCAGCCTCTGGCTGCCACACTCACTGTTGCACACACCCGTAACTGCCTCATTGGAGTGAAGTTTAAGGGAATCCGTACATGTAAAGGACTTAGAAATACTCGTATGTCTATAGCCTGTATTCACTTTTTAGGTTTCAATTAGGACTTTTCAGGGAAATGTTTAGATGTCAGTTGTTGATAAGTGGGCCTGCTTTGTATAATGTTAGTTTGAAATTGAATTCAACTTAAATATTCTGTCATATTTTTGTTTCACTGCAATTTGCTATAAGTTATTTAATGTTTCTATTCTGTTTCCATCAGTAAAATGGGAATTTTATGCCTTCTCCCAGCGTTCGAGCCTGTTGTCAGCATAGAGCAAGTGATCATTAACTGGGCTGAGGTGCTGGTGGCTGTAAGGGTGTCATGTGTGCGACACATTGGGACAAGTGGATAGGAATCACTGCTCTGTAGAGCTCTAAGGCTGTTCCCTGGGCTGCTAGGGCTGTGTGGGGTGATGGGTGTGACACACAGATCAGCGGTGTGTAGCAGTACATGGCTTGAAGTCCTTTCATGTTTGATTCCACATAGAGATGGTAAAGGCCCAAGAGTGTGTTTTGCTTTTTGGTGAATAATTAACTTTAGTCTGTACATTTATCGTTCTTTCCTGTTTCTGATCAGGATTGTTAAAAAATGAGTCTGCGGAAGCAAACCCCTAGTGACTTCTTAAAGCAGATCATCGGACGGCCAGTTGTGGTGAAATTAAATTCTGGCGTGGATTATCGAGGTAGTATTTTCATGTTTGATCATAACTGGTATAACTAAAATAAGAAAATGTGGCTAACCTCCTAAATGTACTCAGTAGACCAGAAACATTGCTCATTGACAGGTTTTTGTTTGTGGTTTGTTTGTTTGTTGTTGTTTTATCTTCTGCCTCTGAGGTGGTTCCTTGTATAGTAAAATGCCTGCCAGTAGTGTGCTTCTGACTTGCAGTGTTTGTAAATTCTGTCTCTTGTCTGTTCTGAGATCAAGCCTGCCTAAGTTCCCTGATGGTAGCTAGGGAGTCACCGACAACTCTGCTGTGCAGAGCTAGGACCAGAGAACACTTGGTTTCAGCAGCATTGGTTTGCAGAAGAGTTCATATTGGCAGGCTTTTATTTAGCCAGAATCATTTCACAGCATGACCTTCCCAGTCATGTAATGAAATATCCAAAGATGCTTTTCTGTTCCTGTAGAGAATCCTTTTTAAGGAGCTTTGGGTGGTGTCTTGTGATACCAGCATGGGGAAGAGACAGGAAGATTCAGAGTTTGAGGATAACTTCAGCTACATATGAGTTTGAGGCAAGCCTTGGTTACATAAGACCCTGCCCCAAAACAAAAACGACCAACCTGAAAAGAAAATGAAGAATACTGAAGACAAGGCAGAGGCCACCGAAGGTGGACGTGTGTGTTATAGGATTGGTGCTGCAGCTCAGAGCCTGTGGATTGAGTCATAGCAATTCAAAAGTAGTTCTGGGAAATGATATCAGATTCTGTTTAAAATAATGGAATTCCTACTCTTCTCAAATTGAGATGTGCTAAACTGCTTAGGCTGTTTCGCAGTGAGATGACTAATTTAGCAGAGTTGTGTGGCTGTTTCTTGGTCTCTTTTCTAAATTTCTTTAGAGCTTTTCCTTTCCCCACACATTTGCATATATGCTAAGTATTTTAATACATTGTCACTTTGAACTCCATAAACTCTGAGATTTTGTAGTTGTTCTCACTAGAAAGCAAGGAGCTAGGACTTACTGAAGCTTGACTGGAAAACTTGGTTAAGAAATTGCTGGAGGGTCTGGATCATTGGCTCAGCAGATAAGAGCACTGTCTGCTCTTGCAGAGGACCCAGATTCAGTTCCCAGCACTCACAAGGCATCTCACAACCGTCTGTAATTCCAGTTCCAAGGGATCCTCTGCCTCTCCTGACCTCTGAGACACAAGACAATGCACATGCAGGCAAAACACTCACACATATAAAATGTAAATAAATATTTAATAAGCCATTAAGTTCCAGCACAAGGAATAGTAGTTCAAGCAGGAGGATTCCATTCCCAGCACTGCCGAAATGAAGGGAGGGGTTAGAGAAGTGGCTCCACAGTTAGGAGTGCATCATGCTCTCGGAGAGGACCTGAGGTCAATTCCTAGTGCGTGCAGATCGCAACCTCCTGTAATTCTAGCTCCAACACCTCTGGTCTCTGAGGACACCTACACTCATGTGCGTGTACCTACACACATAAACATCATCAAAAGTAAAATGAAATCTTTAAAAAAACAAAGAGGGAAATCGCTTTGTTTTAGTCTTAGTTTGTTGACATAAATAGCCCGTTGCCAATGTTTTGTGTGTGATTGGTTGCTTGCTTTTGAGTCAGGGTCTTCCTATGATACCCGGCTGTGATCAAGCCCTTTCTCTTTCTGCCTGGTTCCCTCCCATTCTCAACTTACTAACAGTGAGTAATAGTGACATTATGTTTTGAATTACCCTCTTGTTTAATTCCATATCATATTGTGGAAGTTTCCTCCTAGTGTCTGAATGTCCTTAAAAGTAGCATAGTAGAGAAGAAGCACACTGTGAAACTGTCTTAAGCTGTCTTTGGTGAGGAAGTTATTGTTCTTGATAGTTGACAGTCCAATCTGATTCTTTGAAAGTGTACCGAGTCTCATAGAATTCTGCTCAGTTCATGTCTTGTGCTCAGATTACACACACACAGGTTTGAAAAGAAACCTCTGTCTAGAGGATGCTGGGGCAGAAGCAGAGGGCGGGCAGCATACTAATGAAGTTAGGATTTTAAATGGGACTATTGACTTAGTTAATTGAATTGAATCTGGTGTGTTTTTATTCTTTCTTAAAAATACCATTTTTGCTTAGAGACTGAGAATTAGAAGCTTACTAGTTTCATCTTTGAAAAAAGTCTTTTGGTCAGATTTTAGAAATTTATGCCATCTTAACACAAATAACGACTCACCCGGACTGTTTTCCTTGAAAGCTCCCTGGAATGTTTGTAGCCGTTTTTCTCTATTAGTTTTGATTTTAAAAATAGTCCCAACTCTGACAAAACAGAATGCAGTGTGTTGTAATGCAATATGCTGCTCTCTGTTCTCAAGCTGCTCCTTGCTGAGAGTCACAGCTTTGAGATGTTCTTTCAGGAGCACCTGCTGTCTATTATCTTAACAGATTGTGGAGACTTCCTCTTCACCCCGAGTCCATTCATCTGCTGCAGTAGATGCTGTGAAAGACTGAAATAAATCTGCCAGATCCGTATTTCACTGAGCGGCTGAAGTAACAAATGTCACCTCGGTGGAGGCTCATTTGTCCCTGCATAGTTGCCATGTCTGTCCCTAGCTCCCAAAGAAGGGCGTTTTGGTTGGAATAGTCTAATGCTTATACTTTTGTGAAGACTTTCAGAGTTGCTGTGGTGATGACACATCCCAGGAGGGAGTGACAGTTGGCTGCCTGTCTTGGAGCAGTGGATGCATGACTCCTCTCATGCTTTGCCCGTCCAGCCTTCATTCACATTGGCACCGAGTAAAGGCGCCTTTTGTGTTGAAGTCTATTGAGTTTTGTTTACAGTGTGAATTTTTATATTATGTGTCTAAAGGCTAATGAATAAAGTGATTGTCGGTTCTAAGATATAGCCTGTAATTTTTATTCTGTCTTACTTTCTACAGGGGTCCTGGCCTGCCTGGATGGCTACATGAATATAGCACTGGAGCAGACAGAGGAGTATGTAAACGGACAGCTGAAGAATAAGTACGGAGATGCGTTCATCCGAGGAAACAATGGTGAGAGCGTCCCTTCAGTTAGTCTTCCGAACAGGCCATTCCTGTGTGTATAACAGGGAACACTGGGGAGTTTCTAAATAATGTGAAAGTTCTCTTTTACTTTTGTTTGTTTGTTGTGCTTGTATTTTAGGTCTTTAGTAGAAACCAGATCTGTTTGTGAGTGGAAAGAGAATTTTCCATGGAATTTTGGAATTAGAAATTCTCTCTCTCAGTTGATGAAGAGCTGAGGGATGGATATTGGTGTACTGAGCAGGACCCTGTTACCTTAAATAACCGTGAACTGTAGTATTGCAGGGCCGTCTGTGAGATGGAGGCTACTCCTGTGCTATCTCACACCCCTCAGCTCTTAGCCTGTCCTTTGTCCTTTTTCTATTCAAGGTTCAGGTGCCTTTTGTGGGGCTTTGTACCTTTCCATGTGTCAGAAGTGGGACAGAAAACATGGCTCTGAAGTTCTCTTCTAACAGCCTTAAAAGTTAGGTCTTGTTAGGAATAAATATCCTGACTGTTGTAGACATCTCTTGCTTGCAGTTCAGTAGAATTTCTTCTGTTTCATGTTATTCTTATTTACCTTTCTCCTTTTGCTTGGAAATATTATGATCTTGTCTCCCCTCAGAGCAGCTGGTAGTAGCCACCCATGCAGAGACACTCCTCTGGTGACATCCACCCAGCCTGTCTAGTTTCCCTGGCAGTGGCTTTTCTCATATTCTGATGGTCCCTACACTTTACATGTTGTACTCAGTAGCACTTGTCATTATTCCCACTGTTCGTAGTTGGCCCTTACAGAGATCCTGGTTCACTGGATTGCACTCTGAGCTGGACTCTTTGAGGAGGCCTCGACTCTTGACTTTGAACAAGCTTGTCAGTATCTGAAGATGTGTGGGATGGACAGGGTACACCCTAGGTGACAGCTTGTTTGACCAGTAGCCCAGTGGCCCCTTTTGTCCTGAGTGCATGCAGCACACATTCCACTGTGCTCAGTATGACTGGCGAACATACATGTTGGATGACACTAAAGGTTTATACTAATCTCAGAATAAAGACTTTGCTGTCTTAAAAATGTCTTCTCATTTTTTTTCTCCTATGGAAATTATCAGAGTAAACAGCAACTATACTTTATACTGGGGAAATAAATAAAAATAATGCTGTTTCTTTTACATTTTTTTCCATGTGTATGAGAGTTTGTCTGCATGTATGTAAGTACATCACATGTGTGCCTGGTAGTTGAAGAGGCCACACAAGGTCACTGGACCCCCTCGAACTAGACTTACAAGTGATTGTGAACTGCTTTGTAGGTACCAGGGACCCCACAGTGTTGCTCTGTACAATCGGCAGGTGCTCTTAAGTGATGAGCCATCTCTCCAGACACGTGCTGTTGTTGTGAATCTGAGACCTAGCCTAACAGATGTAGCTGACCAGCTTCTCTCAAAGCTTAACTGTGATGTCGCTGGTTACAAATCATTCTTAGACTTCAGGCACTTTCACTTTCCTGATTCCTGGTTATAATTTGTAAAGTCAGTAACATGTATAGAGAAGACTAGTTAGAATCTTGTTAGATATCAAAGCCCAGTGTAGACTCAACTCATTTTATAGTGACCTTCACTGCATGGTGTAAACAGTCCTTTAAAGTGTGCAAGGTGCGGGCCAGGACTCATGAGCCTTTAAAACTGATGCTGTGCCACTTGAGTGACTGCTCACTCTCTTGTCTTTCCAGTGCTATACATAAGTACACAGAAGAGGCGGATGTGAAGACACCGGAAGGCACTGCTCTTCAGAGATGGATAGATGGAGCCCTTTTTGGTTCTCTTACGATCTATCTTAGTGGTGGTTGGTGGTGGGTTGGTTTTATTTTTTAATTGACATTGGAATAAGATAGAGGTATTACATTACAGATTGAATCATAAGTTTTTCACATTCTTTAGTCACATTCGTTATTATTTCTGCCTGTACAGAATGCAAAAATTAAAAAACAGTTTGTTTCTCCTAAGGTTCCAGCAGTGTTATTCCATTGGTTGATTACGTATTCAGCTGACTAAGTGGTACATCCCGGAACCTGTGATCAAGCAATCTTGAGGAATCCTTTGTCTCTTTGCTCACCATCCACACCATTTAAAGCAAGTAGATGAAAACCTTCTAGGACGCCATATGGTTTCAGCCTTGGGTGATAAAGGGACAAGAGGTCAGAAATTTAGCTGTTGATTTAGTCACCTAGTGGTGGCATTGCCACAAAGGAGTACAACTCTGTAGATTGGGAAATTGTAAAGGTTGGCCACATTGTGTGAGGTGGTTGCTTGGAGTCCTCCAGCTGTCCTGCCGATCCTCCTGTGCAGTTAGACTCCTTATGTTAATTTGCTCCCTGTCAAGTGTTAACAGCAATGACTGGTTACTCCAGTCAGGGGAGGAGCTCAGCTATTCCTAGGTAACTCTGGCTATGGTTGAGGTGCAAGCCCAGAGGCCTAAACTCTTTCCAGGTGCTGAGCTGTGGCTGGGAAAGAGTTCTCCTGCTTTTTGCTTTAGCAAGTGGCCTTGGGGAAAGGGTTGTATTCTGGCAACATGTCAATTGGCACAGGCAAAGCCTTCAGGTCATGTGACTCCTGCTGTGTGGGCTTGTGCTATCTGTAGAGACTGTGTTTGGGTGCTTTGGTTGTGTGGACGGTAGGGCAGATGGGAAGCGAGGGAGAGAGTGAGGGAGGGTGTGCTTTCTGGAGGGATGTATATATGACATTTGTCTCATTTCAGTAGTAATCAGAAACTCAGGAAAAGAGAGAAATGTTTTGTAAGGTTTGGTGGTGTGCACACTGAAAATAAAACACTTTATCCTAAGCCTCAGTAATTCATCACTTCCTGACAGGGGCCTGAAAAGGGACCAGTGTGTAAGTACAAATCACCAATTTGCTCTTTTATAAATGGCTTCTTTAGAGGAGAAAATGGATGTCTCTCAGAGAGGAGCACACATGTTCTCATTTGTTTTTTAGAGTGTGTGAGGCTGCCGGGTTACTGTGTCCCTTCATTCACTCACTGGGCTGCCCCTGGAAGCAGTTCTGTTATCTCTCACCAGTCTAGCATCCCAGTTTTGCTCATTTCTTCTCTGACCTCCCCTCCAGCATGCAGGTCTTTATTTCCCTCTTGCCATTTCTAGCTTAATAGCTCTACTGCAGAATACCGTTTTCATCCATGGAACCACTTTTAATCAAGATCGACTTTGGGAAATGCTTCCATTTTATGGTAATAAAGAACCATATTATGCATCTGGACCAGCACGTGCTGTCCCCTGTGCATACCTTTTTGTGATAGAATTCTGAAACAAATTGTAAATGCTAAAATTACTTTTTCTTAACTGGAGTCTCCTCGTGGTCTGAATGGTTTTCAGTTGGATTGTAGCAAGACAATTGTTCTAGGGTGAAATTTTTTCACTTGAGTAAATACATTTGCTGTGTCCCTATGCCCCCAAACCATAGGTGCCACCATCTTTCTCTTGGGCTATGACAAAACAGAATGTCTAGCAGGAAACAGAACTTGTGCTTAGTTTTTAGACTATCTGCCTTCACATTTTGTTTTGGTCTGTGAGCTATTCCTTGGCTAGTCTTGCAGGCTGAATCAATTCTTACTTCCAAAGTGTTTATCCCAAACAGAGCTGTAGACGAGTACAAATACAGATGGCGGCCATGTGGTCTGAACCATGTTCTCCTCAGCCTGCAGAGAGGGTTCACATCTTGAGCATCTTGTTTGAGACCATATGTAATGCATGCTAGGAGTTCCTAATGATGTGACAGATAGTAACAAACGCTTAAGGGGGTTTCCTCAAGGTCAGAAATGGCAGCATCCACTTAAAGTGTAAGCCTCATCACCCTGGAGGCTACAATCAGCTTCATTAGAAACAAGCACTGTGGGACAGTTGTCTTTGATATTCACTGTGGCTCTTGGATGACAGCATTCCAGGCCAAGGAACAGACTTGTTCCCTCACTGCAGACTGACATTCATGCCCATCTTTAAAGTGACTTTTGTTTTGAGAGACAATGATGCTCCAGAGTATTGGCTAGCTCCTGTTGTAGAAAGAGCTCACCCATACTGTGGCCTTGGACTTCTCAAAGCCAATCTGTGGTTGTTAAGTTTTGTTTGTTTTTCCTGCCCCACCCCCCAAACAAATTATTGGTGGAAAGAAGACACACTGCAGTTTCCCTCACCTGACCTTCATGGGCTGTTCTCCGAAACAACCGCCCTCTTCTCAAGGTACCTCTGGCAAAGAGTACAAGTCTGGGTGTGGTCTGATCTGAATATCTAGCAGTGATTTTAATCCCAGTAGCTGCTACCTTTTCTACTGTGTGTGGCAAAGCAGCCTTGAGTGTTTCCACTGACCAGCCAGCTGTGACTCCACTAAAGTCTGGCCTAAGGGACAGGACGAACAGTATGCACCCCTTGTGTGCTAGGGCAAGAGACAGTCCCAAGTGATGCTTGCATTGTCCCTCTTCTTGCTCACTGCCTTAGTTGGGTTTTACTGCTGTGAAGAGACACCATGACCAAGGCATCTCTTAAAAGGACAACATTTAATGAGGAACTGAGAGTTCTACATCTTTATCTGAAGGCCACTTATTCTAGGCAGCTAGGACAGGGGTCTTAAAACCCACACCCTCAGTGACACACTTACCTCCAAATAGTGCCACTCCCTGGGCCTAACATTCAAACCCTACGTTTACTTTCTTGAGAAGTTGGAGGAGGCAGCTAGGAGGAGATGTGAAGAAGCATGTTGCTCATCAGCGCCTAATGCATGGCAGCTGTGGGCAGGATCTATGTGTCACCCTAATGGATAAATGAGACACTGCCCCTGCGCACGGTGGGAGTTCACTCGCAAGACTGGCTATTTATAGGAGACAGTACGACACACTGTCTTTTTAGATGGGACAGGATTTTGAAAATAGTTCATAAATGCATTTGATATCTCAGCTGTGTTCAGACCTTAAGATTTCAGATAAACTTGGAACGAGAAAACCCTGAGATCTGATTATTTCCATCTTTTTGTTGTTTATGGGTCTGTTGGTTTCCTGTTTTTACACATTTTTATCTACCCAGCAAAAGCCAGATTTTCTGATGTAACTAAATTGTCATGCTATCTGTGCCCCCACTCCTACCCCATTACTCTCCAGTTTGAATGCCATCATCTGCAGTATTGAAGGATTCTATTTTCCTGGTAGTTTTGAGCAGACAGTAATGTACACATAGTTTAGAACTTTATAGTCATTCAACGTTTGAACAATTGAGATAGAGCAGTTTCCAAGGCCTGCTTTACAAAACTGGTCAAGTCCATGTGGACTCCATTTATTCCAAGCCTTCTAATGGAAATGGTCCTGGTGACACACACACACACACACACACACACACACACACACAACTGGCTTAAAGGAGGACTCAGTTTGTGAAAGCCTGCATAAAATAATTCCAGAGAAACAGGTTTATTACCACAAACTGCATACGTTAGTCCAAACACTATTCTGCTTCTATCAGAAGCCCTATTGAAATTACAACAAAAAAGGAAAGCTAAGAATTTGTTATGTGTACTGCTGAGTATATGGCAGGACAGGACAGCTTTCCCTCCCAGCTGGTGTCTCATAGACAGTCTCCAAATTCTAAAGGTTTGAAACAAGCAACTCTGATGTCACAGGAGCCCATGGGTAAAGCTCTACTTTTGGACAAGGGGACAGTATTAAGAATCATTCCCTAGCTCTTGTGTTTTTGCTTAGACTTCATGCCACTCACTTCTGCTTCCTATTAGCCAAGCAAGTTGCGTGGCTAATGGATTTAAGTTTTTCCAGAAAAATAGAATCCCATCATGTACATAGAAAACCAAAAATCCTAGCAGAGGTTAAACTTTGTGTGCCAATCACGCTTCTCCATGGAAACAGCGGATGATGTGTATGCAGAAAGAGCCGTGTGAAGGAACTGACACTCCTGCACTGCCAGGGTAGCCCTTCTGTGGAGTAGTTGCAATTTGAGCCTAGAGTTGTTCTGTTAGACACCCTCTTCCTCTAAGGTCAGTCTTACTATTAAAACCTTCAGCTGGTTGGATGAGGCCCAGCAGCAAGGTGAAGATGGTGTGCTGCTTTGTTCAATCTTTTTACTGAAGTGTAGTGATTGACCACATCCATGCATATTGTAGCCCAACCCATTTATCACAAAGGCAGCCACGTGTTAACTGTATCTTTTGCATTATCGATGTCCTTAACAGCCCTCTAGGAAGCGTGTAGAAGCAGAATCCAGTGAGATTTTTATTGCATTGAAAAGGGAATCTTTTAAGACTTGAGTTCACGGGAGCCGTGTCCCTAATGTCTTACTCACTTAATCAGACCAAAGACAAATAGTGGCGGCTCTTTCGTGACTTCAGAAGCTGGGTCTGTCTGGGTGGATTATTTCATGCCAGGTTGACTTGCAGGACCTCCCAGCTAATATGTTTCTAGGTTTCAATGGAAATATTGAAAGTGATAATAGTAAAGTTAATATGTCTTCTACCCACATTGTAGGTGATTGATAATGGAGCTTTTAGTCTGGCACATCTCATGTTAAATGTTTCAAAGGTGTGGAATGGTCCATGTGTTAGGTTTCCATGGCTTGGTGTTTAATGCATCCAAAACCCCTTGCATGTATCTTTACCTCGAGAATGAATATGCAGACTCGTTCAAAATGGTGCCAGCATTAGGATTGGACTCAGTTTGCTTGTTTCCTTCTGATCATGAGATCTGTGGTGGTATCTTCTTCAGACCCACTTGTAATGGGGATTTTGATTTCTTTAAAAACACAGAAATATAAGAATATGTTTTTGGTTTAACCCCAGGTGTGAGATACGGGGCTGTTTCAAGTTATCCACAACAGTTGACTGGTTTTCCTTGTGCTCTGGCAGGGGTGTGATTTTGCTAGCAGCAGATAGTTCCTGCAATTGTGTGACATTTGGAATTCTGGGAATTTTTCAGAGGGCAAATAAATGCTAGGGCCTTGTG